TGAAACGCTGAGATCAATTGTGACGGGAAGATGGGAAAGCGCAAGCCAAGCGCATACAAGCCAAATCTTCATAAAAGAGAAATCTTCATAGAGGAAGAAATGTCTTTTAACTCACATTTTCACCATGAATTAAACAACTGAAGTGTGCAGAGCCTTTGTACAGAAGATGGGAATAAGGATGAATGATATAGCTATAAAAATTCTATTTTTATATTTTTCAGCCTTTTGATATCTCAGCACTTATGTATTTGCTCTGAAATGGTTTAATTAATTTTTTCAGCCAAACAGCCATAGTTGCCAAATAAAACTTTTAATAATAAAAGTTTTAGATCCAAACGCTAAAATACAGTTATTTATAGGAATGTACTGTTTGAACTGATTCACATAAATGAACCAAAGTTTCCAACAACTTAAAAAAAAAAAAAAGCTTTAAATTGAATACATTTAATTAAAAAAATTATTATTATTTTTTTAATTTCCAACTTTTTTTTTTTTTACTTTTTTCACTACATGAACTAAAGGAAGAATCATACTAAAGTGATTATTTCAGTTGTAATTAACACGTCTGTGTCGTGACAAACATATTTTGCTTCAGAGTAATGAATCTTTTTGATTCAGAATTATAACTGATTAATTGGAATGGACAGTTTTAAGTGATTCGCGTAAATGAGTCGAAAGTAATCAACTCAAACCTTTTCTATTAAGGTTTAAATTAGAGACACAATTAAAAGCATTCTCATATTTGTGAGGTGAAAGAATGAAAATTCAATTGATCATTTTATTGTTAAAATTGAGATTTATGCATCATAAAAACAACATGTTTAGATAAAAATCACAATTCATTAGTTGTTTGTGGTTGTATATTATTTTAATGGATTAATGGAGTCATACATTTAAATTTTACTAGAAAGATGGGCATTTACATTTATCTGAACTTCAGCTATAAGTTTATTTAAAAATCACATTTTAATTTTAGGCCTACTGTCAAATGGACAAATAAATATTTATTTAAACTTTAGCTTCAAGCTTACTAAAACTTAACACTTTACTTTTTACTGTGAGATGGAGCAGCGGCTCCATGACAAGAATAGCAATGTACAGCGAGACATTTAAGATTATTTACAAGGCATTACTTTTACAAATAATTGGAATGGAATTTAAAAAATACGTTGATATGAATATTTTTTTAGTAATCTTATTAGCCTGCATTGTGCGTATCTATTCTGACATGCCATATTTTTGTCCCGTGCTAGTATCACTATGTCTACTGCAGCTTCAGAGGGAATCACTCATTTAGATGTCACTTCCAAAACTCTGCAGCGTGTAATTGGCCATTGGTCCTCTTAGCAGCATTAAAAACAATACTTTTATTCAACCTATAGCTATAGCTATATAGCCTCGAAAGTGCAAAAGGCAGATCACTTTACAATCACTAAAAAGCTGTCAATCATCTCAGTTTGCGATCTCAGAACGTTCCATTAAAATCAATAAAGTTACACTGCAAAAGGAATCTCTTACTTACGTCGTGTCGTTCTTTGTTAATGAAAGAGGATTCAAGAAAGCGAGCATAACTCATCACCGAACAGAAACTCCGGCATTTTGAGCGGTGAGAGGATGAGTGTTTGCTAAATTGCCAATTATGTGACCCGTGCTGGCAAAATGAGTCGGAATGAGCATATTTTCAAAAATGCCGTTTGAAGGAGTCAGCACAGAGTCAGCAGAGTTGATTTTGAGAAAAAATGAGTTGAATTTTTCTGAAGATTCCAAAGCAAAATCACCAAGCAACGTTGCATATTTTTCTCCAATTCTTTTCTTAATAATAATTACTATATTATTAATCACAATATAGCTATTTTTTACTTTATCTTTGTTATTAAAAGTAAGAACAAAGATGCAAATAAACAGTAGTTTAATCAAGAACAGCGAGTGATTTCGTCTTTTCTTTTAATGTTTGATTAACATTGAGACAGATCTATTATACATTAACTAAACATTCATGTAAGACATAACAAATTATGTTTGTGTGAATCTCGCTAGGACATATTTTGCAATAATGTACTTTATCGGAGATCGCGTGCTCTTGGGAGGTGCGTCTTATGCATGTGCTTTGCAAATGTTAGTGTCAGGGTTCTGCCCTGAGACCCTGTTTGCTTTGTCTTTGTTTCTCGTGTCTATGCTTGTCTTTTGTGTCAGCTCATGGCTTTGTTGTTTTTGTCAGCCATGTGCTTCTCTAGCCCCTCCTCCTTGTTTCCTCTTTACCACACCCTCTTGTTAGCCCTCGCTGAGTCCTTGTTAGTCTAATTGCTCTCACCTGTTCCTCATGTGCCTTCTTCCCTATTCAACCCTCTAAATTGCGAGTAAATCACTCGCATATGCGACTAAATCTTCACTCTGGGCGACTAATGATGTCTAATATTAGCCAATTGCTAATAAATTCTCAGATTTTACTTGCCAGTGTGTGAGTTGGAGGCTAAGTATAAGTTTAGCTCCGATATATTTTCACTCGCCGAACACTCTCTGACTGAGTGCATCAGAGTTTCACTCTCCGCCAAGCGATCTGTGCTGTTTTTCAGTTCATCTGAATGGATGTGCAACGCACCTGTATTTAACGTACCGTAAACTCTAGTGTGAAGCGCACTACTCGCCGTCGCTTTGTTTCACACACACACGCAGCGAGAGAGGGAGAGAGAGAATTGACGTGCTATGCGCGCTACATGTAAACTATATTCTTTGTTGTATTTTGCTGTCAAAATAACGGAGTTCCTTTGGAATTCTTCAGCTTTTAAGAACTAC